TCATTTACTCACCACATCTCTAAGGAGTGGGTACTATTGTTATCCTCATTTTACAAGTGGGGAAACTGAGGCACAGAGAAGTTAAGCTACATGCCCAGGGTCACACAGCTGGTCATGGTGGAGCATGAATTTGAAGCCAGACAGTCTTAGCCATTAAGCCCAAGCTCTTAGCCACTAAGGCCACACTTAGCTTAGCCAGCCGGGGAGCTGCCCTGATCTTGTTGCTTAGGCAGAGCACTGGTCTTATAGGCCCCAGTGTGTCCTATCCAGAGCATCCAGATTGTTCCTCAGCTCTGTCCAAGGCATGACCACTCAGGGTGAGAGGTGAGCTCGACAGGGTCCGGCAACACGAGGCTTCGTGATGTAGGGGAAAGAACGTGGAATCACACTGGCCTGGGTTTGATCCCCTCACCACCACTTGTTAGCTGTGTGGCACTGGACAAATTGCTTCACCAGTCTGTGCCTCAGTTTCCTCATCAGCAAGGTGGGGAGAACACGAGTCACTTCACAGGTTACTGGGAGGGTGAAATGTGATGAAGCGTGCTGGAGTTAGGCTTGGAGCCTGCACACAGTAGGTGCCCAATAAGGGGAATTGGTGGATGTGGGCTCTGGTGGCAAGACCCTCAGGGAGCCCAGGGTTGCTCTGGATCCTGGGTTCTGCCTGAGAAACGAGGCTGGGAACTGCCCCAGAGGGCCCACCCCACTTGCCGCTCTGGCTGCAGCGGTCTTAAGGTCGCACGCAGCAGCTTCTCCCATTTTCCCCAGGTGGCTTGCGGGGAGGGGGGTCTCCATGGCAACACTCAAGGACCACCTGTTGGAGGAATCAGGCACCGGAAAAAAATGACCTCCTTGCCTCCTTCCAGCAGCCTGTGGTGAGGGTTCGAGGGGAAGTGGCTGGGCCAGGTTGGAAACTCGATCCTGGTGAGCTGCCCTGCTGAGGGGGAGACAGCGGGCTACCCAGTGGAGGTCATTCTCTCAGCCTAAGCAGCGATAATGCCTCTGTAAGCTGCAGCCCTCAGACCTGGGAGCCTGATAAGAGCTGCCTCAGGTCTCCCCCGAGAGGAGGCACTTAGCTCCGGGGTTAGAGAGCAAGGCTGATGGAGGGAGGCTGGGGGCTGGGGGGCCTTTGGCCTCCATGGACATTCTTGCCCGGAAGCCACCAGCAGGGCCTCCTGAGAGAGAGGCTGTGTTTGCTCCACTGCCTGCACCATCATCCTCTTCTGCCTCCCTGTCCCAGGTCTTTTCTTGAGCGGGGGTGGCGTGGGGTGCGGGAATTGAGGAGGGGTTGGAATGACTGAGCATTGGCTAAGGAATGCCTCCCGGAGTCTGCACAGTGGAGCCTACTGCAAAAGGGTAAGAAGAGAGGCGGGTAAACATGAGCCATCATCAGAAGTTCCTGTGAGCCCTCCACCGACCCCTGCCCGCTTTATGGGAATTCTATCCTCAGGGACTCCTGAGTTCCATGTTGGGCCCTGCCTCGTTCAGACAAGTCTCAACATTTGTCTTTGCCTCAGTTTTGCTGTCTGTGAAATGGATAATTGTAGTCAATTGACTTATAAACCATGTTTACCATGGTATGAGCAAATGATTGTAAAATTCATCAGATTTTTCATGACCTCTGACTGAGTAATTCTGTTTCTGGGAATGTGTTCCTCCCACACGCCCACCAGGCTTTATGCAGTATTGTTTATAAATGAACAATATCAAAACAGCCCAGCTGTTCCAGTAGCAGGGAATCGGGGACTGCCCCAGTACTGATATATCCAGATGGAGGGGTACTTCATGGACAGTCAGAGTCCTAAGTGGAGCACAAACAGGCTGTCACGTTCTAGAAGGAGGGCATGCCATTTATGTCTCATTCATCCTCGCATCTTCAGAACCTTGCAAAATGCTTTGCAAATAGTAAATCTTCAATAAATATTTGTTGAATTATCCCAACTATATAAAAATTGTATCCAAAGGAAACAGGCTTGAGAGAAAGTATTCCAGAATGTTAACGGGGGTTACTTCTGGTGATGAGTTTATGTATGATTTTTTTTTCTTTATTCTTCAGGAAATTGAAAAAATTCAATAATATGCCTATATTACTTTTATATCTAGATGCAATAACTTGAATATTATGTTGCCTTATAAAAATATAGATGTCTTTTTTAAAAAATTCAAACAACGCAGAAAAGTATCAAAAAGAAACTAAAGTCACCTCAAGTTCCACCACTGAGTAGTTACTGGTATTAATATGCGGCAAACAGCCTCAGCGAGCTGGCTCTGCGCATATACCTGTATCGATGTGCGTGTGTTTTCACATCAGCAGGCTCATGGAGTACATGTCTTTTGACACTTTTCCCACATCCTGTATCATGAACAGATTTCTCTGTCAGTACAAATTGATGATTTTAAATGGCTGCATAGTATTCGGTTTCATGGATGTGCTGCGAGTCGACTAAGCAATGCTCCGTTGATGTCCATTTAACATTTTTGCTCTTATAATCAATGCTGACATATCTTTCTATAGTCATGTGGTGCATAACGACGTTTTGGTCAACAACGGACCACATATATGACGGAAGTCCCATAAGATTAGTGCCAAATAGCTTAGGTGTGTAGTAGGCTGTACCATGCAGGTTTGTGTAAGTACACTCTACGATGTTGGCACAATGAAGAAATCACCTAATGACGCGTTTATCAGAATGTATCCCCGTCGCAAAGCAATGTATGACTATAATCAAAAAAATAAGACAACCAGAAATTCCTTGTGGTTTTAGGTTTTGGGATGAAAATTTCAGCAGGATGGCCCAAAGGAAACCAGCCCTGCTTGTGGAGGGAAACAATTTTAAGGGCTTCGTGATGACATTCTCAATGTTTGAAGAATGGTCATGTTGCAGAAGGAGCAGATTGGGGTGCAACACAAGGGAGGCTCAGAGGGGGCTGTTTCAGGAAAGAATATTTAGTTCAACAAAAAAAGACCTTCACCTTGAAAAGAGCCTGCCTCCCACGAGAAGGTGTCTCACAGCATTTAGGCCAGAAAGCGGCTCAGTCTGGGGGTCTCACCAGTGGCCCTGTCACCTTGGGGAGGCCTCAGGCCCCTCTGAGAGATCCTGTTGGGAAAGAGGTGAGCAGCAGGGAATGAGTCTTTCCAGCTGCTCTGAAGGATCAGAAGCCAGGCCCAGGGGAAGGGCCGAGAGAGAGATGAGTTGAATGAATTATCGGCTTGTCAACTTGGGGAGACAGCTGGCCTGGTGGGAGAAGCCTGGGCCCTAGGATCAGACAGCCATGGTCCAGATCCCTGTTCTGTCATTTACCAGCTGGTGACCTCAGGAAGGCATCTAACCTTTTTGAACCACTCTTTCCTCATCTGTAAGATGGGCACAGTAACTACTTTCCAGCATCTCGTGAGGTTGGACACAAAGCCCAGTACCCAGAGTGTGTGAAAACTAATAACAGATGGTTGTTCTTAGTGGAAGCAACTCTAGAACATCATTAGGCCAAATACTTTTAGGAAAGGACACTTGCTGTTTTTCAAAGTAGCTTGGACTTGGGTTTGGCTGGTGACTGTACCTGGAACCTTTGACCAAAGGTGGGAAGTGAGGAGACTGGGCTGCAGGTGAATATGGGTTGTGTGTGTATGTTGGGATGAGAGCGCTTAGGTTGTTGCCAAGCACTCTGGTGACTGTGACGGTGGTGAGAAAGAGGAGGAGACCGTGTGGCTGTGAACACGGAGCTGCCACAGGGAGACAGGTTAGGTGCGGAGGTGACAGCTGGGTTTGGAGCTTGGTCCGAGTGAGATTCTGCTGTGTGTGGCTCAGTGGAAGAACTTTCTGGGGAGTGGAGTGCCTGACTCCTGGCGTGGCCTGCCTTTCTGAGGCTGCACTAGCTCCCTGGGAAGACGAGTGGCCCCACGGAGGCCAAGTGAGGTTCCCTGGGAGGCTTGGCAGGGAGGGGGTGCCAAACGCCCTCTATGGTGGTGTCCCTCTAAGGTGGTGTCCATGTCCAAGGTGCCCAGGGGGTGATTGGGAGGGCTGAGGGAGGAGCACATGTGGCCTTGGAAGGGAGGAAGGGCCAGAGGCCAGGGGGGTGTGAGGGGAGGAGCCACCATAGTTGTAGGCCCTGGATCTGGACAGTGGGCTCGGCCTCTCTTCCTTGGCCCTGCCCTCCAGCCCCCGCTGCAGGACTGACCTCATGGCAGGCTCCTGCCTAGAGGCCTCACTGGCTCCCTGTCTCTCCTCTGCTTGCTTTCTCAGGCCCTCTGTGATCTGGACCCACTGTGCCCTAACCCTGCTTACCACGGCTCCCAACCCTCAGCCTGTCTCTGCCCCCCACCCCTCCGATACTCCAGGGTGTTCTCCTTCCCTGGAATGTCTGCTCCATCCCTCTTGCTGCAGATCTGCCTTGTTTTTTGGGCCTCAGCTCCAGTCCCACTTCCTCAGTTCCCCTAAATGGCATGGCCCCCCTGCTCTTTCCTACTCAGAATATGGACAGCTCATTGGAGCCAGTGCCACCAGATGATGGCATCGGTATCCCCAGGGGGGCCTTTTCCAAGTGCAGGCCCTGCTCTTTACTTGTTTATGCCTCATGCTGACCCTATGAGGTAGACACAGTTATTATCCCCATTTTATAGATGAGGAAACTGAGGCTCAGTGAGGATTCTACCTGAATAACCTCTCAATTGGCTAGTTTCCAAATTCTTTCCCGTGTGAACGTCTTGTCTCTCCAACGAGACTGAGCTCTTTCAGGGCAAAAGCCGTGTTTTGGGTTTCCGCAGCGCTCCCAGCAGTGAGCCCGTGCCCGGTGAGTTCTTGCTGGTCGGACATCTGCTGCAAAGAGGCCTCAGCTTGTTGGGCCTCGACACAAACTTGGGGTCCAGGGCTTGGCTGGGAAGCTCGCAGCCCCGTTGGCGAGATGACTGGCTTGAGCCCGGTGGAGAGCGAGCCTGGAGCTGAGCCCCTGGCCTGGGGGCCCACCCTGGGCCTCTCACCATTTCCTTCTCTCCTTTCGTCCACCAGGGAGCTCAACGGCAACAACATCACTCGGATCCACAAGAATGACTTTGCGGGGCTCAAGCAGCTGCGGGTGCTGTGAGTACGGGATTCTGCCCCTCGTGCCCTCCCTCCTGCCCCCACCCTCAGCAGTGGCGTTGTGGGTCCTAGGCAGAGCCCTGGCTGTGGGTCGTAGGGTTGCAGGGTTGTAGGCGAGCTGGGCCCCTCCCCTATGGAGTCAGTCTTGGGAAGCCCTGAGTGGGGTAGGGTGGAGGTGATGGTGAGTTCTGCCTCAGGGTGGCCACTGTCTCCCGCACAGCTGAAAACTGGGCATGGCGTGGGCACCAGTTGTCGCCGCCTAGCGGACCTGGCTGGGCAGATGGGGCTGTCTTGTCCGTTGGCTGTCTCCCGGGATCAGGGAAGACCAGGTCTGCTCAGGCTGCCATCACAAAGGACCACAGACTGAGCAGCTTAAACGATGAAATTGATTTTCTCACCGTTCTGGAGGCTGGAAGTCTAAGATCAGGCTGCTGGTAGGGCTGGTTTGTGGTGAGGCCTCTCTTGTGTCCTCATGTGGCCTTTCCTCTGTGTGTGCACAGGGAGAGATCTCTGGTGTCTCTTTATCTTATAAGGACACTGATCCTATCAGATTAGGGCCCCACCCTTACAACCTCATTTAACCTTAATTACCTCCCTAAAGGCCCTATCTCCAAATACAGTCACAATGGGGGTTAGAGCTTCAACATATGAATTTTTGGGGGACACAAGTCAGTCCACAACAGTCTCCATAGTTCTTCTGAACCTGTGCCCCAGAGAGACTCTCCAGCAAGGCCACAGTCCCCTGGCTTGAGAGCAAGGGGAGTCCGGGCAGTTGAGGACAGAGGTGACTCCTCTCGGGTACTTGACAGTTGCAATATTGGAAGTGGTGGGTATGGCTCTTTTGGGCTTGGCTACTAGCCAGCAAAGGAGCCGTCCACGGCATGTGTCTTGTCAGGCTGGGCAGGGGTGGGAAGTGAGGGGAAGGCGTGGATCCCTTCATCCTCTCCTGCTCTCCTGATATGGGGGTGAAGAGGCAGCCTGGCATGCATGCATGCATGCATTCTGATGCAGGAATGGCTCAGCTCACAAACTCAGGTGTGCAGGGAAGAATCACATTTCTTTATTTTCTCTGCATCTACTCAGTTTTAACTCTGAGCCCCCATCCCACCCGGCTGGCAGGAAATTCAACATCAGACAATCATAGGATCCCTCACACTCTACTCCCAGAGTAGTACAAGGGTCCTGGGGCCTCAGTTCTTTCAGAACTACTGACTTTGTAGTTTTCAAAGTCTTGGGGGGAGCTGGGGGACCTTGTGGCCGATCCTTTCGCTGGTCATAGCTGTCAATTGCTGAGCAGGGTCTCTGCTGCTCCAGAACCCGCTGACCTCTGACCCCTTTCCAGGCTCCAGGAATCTCTTCTGAGTCTGGGGAAGCCCTCCCTCCTGGCATTCCGCCTGCACCCACTCCCACCCCCACCCCCCTCTGGCCTCCAGGCCTCCAGCAAGAGCTCCTCAACAGTGCAGGCTTTTGGAAGCAAAGCAGAGGAAGAGAAGTGTCTAGTGGCAGCTTCTACCCTCTGCCCTGCCCCACACCTTGTCTGAGGCGCTTGCGGGAGCACACAAGCCATCTGCTTCAGAGTGGAGAGCAGAAAACGCAGGGAGAAAAGCATACTTGATGATCTCAAAAATTACCATGCAACAAGCGATCTGTTGGTGAAAAATGCTGCCCCCCAGCCGGACACTCTGGGTTTCAGGGCGCGTTGGCCGTGAGGAGGTGCAGAGTCCCACGGAGCCAGGTGGTTCAGTTGGCAGCAGATGGGGCCAGGTGGAGTGGGGGTGCAGGCAGAGGGGGTGTCGTCTGCCAACCGCAGAGTGTGTTTGCTGCGTGTGTGGGCTTTGCCTAGTTGGCACCATCTCCCCTCTCCCCATTACTGGCCGATCCCTCCTGCTCTGCCTGTTGGATACGCGCCCTCTGGGCCAAAGCAGGGCACGTGTGCCAGCAGTCCAGAGCCGGCCCCTGCTGCCTGCTGCCTGCTGCCCGCTGCCTGGGTCTGGGCATCCCTGAGCATGCCTTTGGAGCGCTGACCTGGTGCTCTGGTGCCCCGCGGGCTTCTGCCATGCAGGTGGCTTCAGAGGGGTCAGCATGGGGCTGGGGCCGGAAGCACGTCTTACCATTAGGGCTGGGTGTGCTGTGGAGCCCTTGCCGGGGAATTTACAAAGTTGTGAGAAAATTTTGTTGGCTTGGGCCGGGACGTGGGTCTGTGTGCATCTCGGGCACTGCTCCTGTTTCACTCCCTCATACCAGCTGTTTCTACGAGTCCTTGTCCAACATCCTGTAGCTGTCCCTGTCTCTTTGCTTCCCAGGCAGCTGATGGAGAACCAGATTGGAGTGGTGGAACGGGGGGCTTTCGACGACATGAAGGAGCTGGAGCGGCTGTGAGTACCCGCGGGCGCAGGCTCAGGGGGGCGGTGGGGGCTGGTGCTGAGGGGACGCGAGCAGCTGAGCCTGGCCTCAAGGAGGGGCTACTCAGGGACAGGACTACACGCCCAGCCCGCCTCCCGCCTGCTGAGGGGAGCCGGGGGCAGCCGCAGCTGTGGAAGCAGTCACAGAGTCATCGTGAGATGACGGCAAAGAGAAAGCTGGAGAGCATCCTCACCCCACATTCTAAATGCAGCTGTCTTTGTTGTTTTTTCCCTGAAAATACTTTATGGCAAAAAATCCACACAGTACAGAGGAAATGAAATTTCCTCCTATAATCTCATACCCGGAGCATAACCACTGTGCATTGATTCGTTTGGCCTCAAAAGAAGCATTGGCATGCCGAGGGGCCCGTCAGGAAAGCCCAGGGCCACCTGTGGAGCCCTGTCTTGGTGCCTGGGGCCACAGCACAGAACTGGAAGGTGGTGGCATGCTTCTGATTTGCATGGTTTGTATGGTTTTTTCCTTACAGGGCTTTCAAGTTTGAAAATGGGTCTTGATCAATTTTTGCATTTCAGATTGGCAATAATGGAAAACGAGGAATGAGGTATAGATGAGGAGGGGATGGGCACTCACATTCACGGGGGTCACTGATCTTATTTTTCTGCTTTGGTTTGGCTGTTGGTGTCAAGAGTCCTAAAGTTCATGCCCTTTGAACCGGAAGTCCATTTTATTTTAAGGAAATAATCAGAGACATGGCTAAAAATTTATATATCAGGATATTCATTGCACATTATTTAAATATAATAAAAAAAGTTGGAAACAGCCATTCTGGTGGAGATATAAGATATAAAATCACTTTTTTTTTTTTGCTGAGGAAGATTCACCCTGAGCTAAAATCTATACCAGTCTTCCTCTATTTTTTAGTATGTGGGCTGCCAGCACAGCATGGCTGTTAACAGAGCAGTGTAGGTCTGTGCCCAGGAACTAAACCCAGGCCACCGAAGCAGAGTGTGCTGAACTTAACCACTAGGTCACCAGGGCTGGCCCTAGAATCACATTTTTGAAGAACTATTAAGGCCATGGGAATGTGCTCAGAATATAACGTTAAGTGGAAAAGGCAGGAAGTGACGTTTGTGTAAATAGAACCAACTGATATGTGTACAGAATACAGGAGGAGGAAAATAACTGAGAATACTAATTCTCATTACATTGAGTGGTGGGATAACAGGTAACTAATTTTACTCTTTGTGCTTTTCATTTTTGTGGATTTTCTTACAATGAGTTTATAATTATAATTATAGCTTCTATTGACTGCCTTCCTCTATGCCAGACACCAAGATAAGCTCTCTGCCCCCCAATATCTCATTTAATCCTTACAACAACACTGTAGTCAGTGGTATCTTACAGGTGAGAAGTGGAGGTGCACAGAAGTTAAGGCACTTGCCTTATTAAGTGACTATTAAGTGATTAAGTGCAAAAGAGGGGATTAGAATCTGGAACATTCTACCTCCACAGCCTGAGCTCTTAATGACTACGACCTAATACCTCACATTTCTCTGTTATATCAAGGAAAATGAGGTATTAAATAAAAGGGAAAGAATACGGTTGTCTCATTGCCTTCCTGCAGCCTGGAGGAAAATCAAGGTGATCTTTCTTTGGCATTCCTCATCCAGGCCTAAAACGGAGTGATGAGGGGCTCCATTAGTCTTGTGTTTATTTTCTTTAAAAGGCTCAGAGCAAAATACATATTCATGTTCTGGCTATGAGGGGCCAATGTGGATCTAACCCATTCCTGCTCCAGTGCTGGGGCTGACACGCCCTGGGAGAGGAGAAGAGGTGGGTGGGGGTCTAGACATGACCCAGGTGGGGCCTGTGTCACGCCTGCTGCTGCCAGCCAAGGCTAGGCAGGGCCTTCATTTTTTTTTTTTTTTTTTTGGTGAGGAAGATCCGCCCTGAGCTAACGTCTATGCCAATCTTCCTCTATTTTGTATGTGGGACACCACTACAGCATGGCCTGATGAGTGGTGTGTAGGTCTGTGCCCAGGATCTGAACCTGTGAACCCTGGGCCACAGAAGCAGAGTGCGTCAACTTAACCACTATGCCACTGGGCGGCCCCCAGGGCCCTCCTTTTTGAGTCGTGCCTTGTCACTGCAGACTTTGTCCCTTCTCCAGTTTGTCCCTTTTATAGTTTCTTTCTTCCAGGGTGGGTCATCAGCAACTTCACAGTGGGTGGTTATTTTTGGGGCGTGTGACTGCTCTGGTGCCCGGTGCTCGCTGTGGATGGCTGGCACCCTCTCCTCTGCCTTGTCGGAGACCAGTGGCAGATCAGTTAATCGTAAAAGTTGGATAAAGTGGGGAGTCATAAGCACCATACGTGCTCTAAACATTTCATTTTAAGTTAAAACGTATAAATGTGCATTTATTGACCTTCTCCCTCCCCCTCACATTTTTCTCCCCCAAGGCCTTTCTTTTTAGCATGAGATGCTGATTGGGGTTCTGTATTGTTTTCCGTTCCTAAACCACACATGTATACTTTGCCTATGATTTTTGGATTTGGTTTCTTTAAGGTAGAGTGAAATTTTTAAAAGGCCCTTGGAAGCATTCTGGGTGGAGAATTCTGAATTTCTTTTATGACCCTCCTGCCCTTCAGTCTTACTTCATCGAACAGTCCTTTAATCGCCCACTTTCCTTTTATTGACTGTTTGCAAAACATTCAACTTAGTTTTCATAGAGACAGCTTTCTCTTTTCACACTAGTATTTTGTTCATTTATGTAATAGTTAATTAAATTATATAATTATAATTGTAAGTACCTCTGGCATAAACAGGTTTGGGAACAGACATAACTGGTTCTTGTAAGCAGCTACAAACTTGAGTACAGAAGCAGAAGTGTGCAGTCCTGCCACCATGAGGATTGGCGTGCCGTGGGCATTGGTGGATCTGATGTTGGGAGGGAGTGGAGTGCTCAATCACCCTGAGCCAGCTGAGTGGGAGTCAGTGTGTCACATGGAGGCAGCCAGGATGGGGAGCTGGGAAAGGCAGGCTTTACAACCCCGCCTCTACGACCTGACCTGGCGGTGACTTGGGTGAGTCACTCACCTCTGGGCATCCCAGTTTCCTCATCTATCAAAGAGACAATTTAGCAAAGTCAACACACATACACTGAGCATCCATTTGGAGCTGTGTGCAAGATGGTGGTGATAAACCTTCCCTGTGGGGTTGTTGCCAGGAGGGGAGAGGAGGGGATGTGCATGAATGTAAGGCCTTGTGAGACCCCAAGAGAAAGAAGCCCACCTTTTCATTCCTTTGCCCTCCAAACCATTTATCCTGGTGCCTGGCACATGGGAAGGGCTAATAAGCACTGTAGCCGCTACTGCTACTGTTCCTAGCCACCTGCGGGTCCCTCACCAGGCTGGGTCCCTCCTTTGATGTCCTTTGGTTTTCCACTTGAAACTTGCTATCAAATCCTTTTTCCTCTTAAGTGTTTTTCAGAAATTGAAGCTGGAAAACTGAGAAAGTCTTGGGGGAAAAGAAAACAGAATCCAAACCAAGATTACCAGGCAGTGTAAATACAGGATTAATTTACTGGACGAGGGTAGGAACTTGGAGTGATGTGATGTCCACTCTGTTGCTTTAAGGATTATATTGGTGGTCCCTTTTATTCGAAGGCAACGATGTGTTTCCCTAGCAGCCCACCCTTTAGAGGAAATGTCTTCCAGCTGGCCTAAAGTTGAAGCTCTAATTGTCTGTACTGTGCTAGAAAATGGTACCTTTCTCACATCCCAGTGAAGGTGACCTCCTAGGAGGTGACCACAGACCAGTTACTGCTGGCCACACAGACTTATGTTTCTTCCTCCTTCCCCCCAAAGGAAAGCTTTTGCCAAGTTGGTTTATCATCTTCTAGAACTGTTAAAGGAGATCCTTGTGTGAAGCTCAAACTGTGCCAGAGACTGGAGGGCAGAGGCTGCATTTTACGCCAGTGCTTCTCCCTCCTTGACGTGCATCCAGATCCTGGGGGTCTTGTTGAAATGCAGATTCTGCGTAGGTCTGGGGTAGAGCCTGGGGATTGCAGCTCTTACCAGCTCCCAGGTGATGGCCCTGCAGGTGGTCCACGGACACACTGTGGGTGCCAAGGTTCCGTACTTTATAGGTTCACACCCCCTGGTGGGCTGGAGTCCTACACTCCAGAGTCAGAGAGTTGGTTGCCTAAGGTGGCACGATGAGTCTGGTTAGACTTCGCTGCCTCCCTAGGACAAGTGCGAGTCCTTCCTGCGTTGTCTTCTCGTCAGGCCACATTCCAGAACCAGATTTCCCACTCCTGCCTGTGTTTATAATACTGAAATGTTATCTGTCCATCAATAGAGGAATTAAAAGTAATGGACATACTATTCAGTCATTAAAAATAAAGGGGTTGTTCTTTATTGTTTGGCATGGAAAGACATCCACAAATTGTTGAGTGAGAATAACGCAGGTGGATGAATACTTTTTCTTCTATTATTTGATGCTTTTTTTTTATTAGCAAGCACTTCCATAAATAAGAAAAAAAATCAATAAAGCTATTTTCATTTTGAAAAAAGACCTAAAGCAAACAATAAAAAAGATAAGTTGCCACTGAGCCAAATGTGGATGAAAGCAATGAAGAATCAGAACCTACTACAATAGGGTGTATCTCACATTTCACGTGCAGTCAGGTATCCAACGCACAGACTGAGATAATATTTGAACTGGTGCCTTATAAATTACAGAGTGTCTTGCATGTGTAAAATGATGCTGATGATGGGTGTGGGAGGAAATAATGGAAGGAAAGACCCTCTATTTATTGACTGCCCATGACCCGTCAGGTCCTCGGGGAGGGCCTTTCACAGATGTTCTGTTCTTATCCTCCCCAAGTGTCAAAGGGCAGAATTCCCACTTTATAGATGGAGAAACTGAGGCCCAGAGAAGGTGATCTCCCTGGAGTCACACAGTGACCCTGTTAGGATTTGACCCCTGGGCCCTCTGACTCTGAATCCAGTGCTTTCTGAAAAGTCCATTGGCTCTCCTGGACAGCTAGGCGATTTCCAACACTTCCTCTCTTCTCTTTTTCAGACGACTGAACCGGAACCAGCTGCACATGTTACCAGAACTGCTGTTCCAGAATAACCAGGCTCTGTCGAGGCTGTGAGTGACACTCCCTGGCCAGAATGCTCTCTGTGATCTTATCCCTTACCCGGTGGGAGGGGCGGTGTTTGGTCACTGGGGCCTGGACTGTCCCGTGACTGTGACTCCCATGATCCTCACCTGGCAAGAATTGTTCAGGGCATCAAAAGGTGCTATTTGGGGCATTTCACCATGGTAAGCACTTGACAGAACCCACAGTTGATCCAGTTCATGTACTGCCTCTAACGGTGCCGGGGTGAGGATGTTGTGGGGGTGGGCATGCTCGTCAACCGTGTTGCCCTTCCTTACAGGGAGCACTGTTCTTATGCATCTCTCACTGCCTTTGGTAACTTGCCTTGGGTCGAGTATTTACTCATTCAACTAATCCCTTCTTGAACTATTTGTATTTTCAGTTTGGAGTAATGAGGTCTGTAAGCTTATTAACTGTGGCATAAAGTCATACTTTGATTTGCTGTAAATGTACTTCTTTCAAGTTTAAAGGGTAGTGGCCAATTCTGCTGCTCCAAGATTTACCAAATGTGTCTGTAATTGTTCTACAGTATATTTCGTTTTGTGGGATCATGGGTTGGACAGGACCTTAGAGATTGTCTAAGGAATCTCTTCTGCGTCTCCTTAGATATGGTCCTTCAGTCTTTGCTTGGCTACCTCTAGTGATGGGGAGTTCACCACCTCCCTGGGTAATCACTTCCATTATTGGACAGGTCTGCATATTAGAAACATTTTCTTTGAGCTCTAAATCTGCTTTCTAATAATTTATGTTTTTCCTAGCTTTGCTTTCTGTAAGTCCCAGAACAACTATGTATTCTTGTTAGATTTTTGAAGAGCTGCCAGGTTTTTGAATTTTGAGTTGGGAGGGAGGTTTAGTTGTGGTCATTAACCACCTGAAAAACCATTGGTTGGGACCTTCTGCATGCCCAGCAGAGCACTGTGTGAGATGCTGGGGCTGTGGTTCTTCCCTAAGGATGCTTATAGGACAGCACCTAGGTCGAGGTGCAGGTAAGACTGAGGGGGCTGGGAGGGAGACGGCACCCTGGGGTTGCCTGAGTGCCGAGGGGCGTGCCTGTGGGCTTCCGGAGTCTGGAGCTTGATCTCATCTCTCTGATTAACCACAGCCACTTCTTTCTGCCTCTGTCATGATTTCCAGACCTCTTGGTAAGCCCAGGGGTCTCCAGCAGCTCCAGAATTTGTCGTGGATTCTGTCTTCAAGTTTTTGTCTTTAAGGTGGAACTCTGATTTTTAGTCTGTTGTCCTCCTGGCCTGGAGGCCTCTCCGCGATGACCCTCAGTGACGATCCTTCCTGCTGGTCTTTGCCATCCTTGGGCTGGATCTGGGCCTTCTCCTTCAGTCCCCTGTAACTGGCCCTTTATTTGGTGCCAGGCACACAGTGGGAGCCTTACTTTCTTGACTGCTGAAGGCACAAGACCTTTCCCTGCAGCTGCATCTGCCCTCACGTCTCTCTAACCTGGAGCCAGCGCTGGCGCACCAGGTCCCTGCTGGAACTGGTCACAGGGAGCTGGTCTTGCCCTGACGTGGCCCCAGCACTCCTGTTTTCTCCGCCCGTCCTATCTTGCAGCCAGCTCTTGCAAGGGTCGTAACAGTTCTGCCTCTCTGCACAAATTCATCCTGAACATCTTTTCTCTTTGTCTCCTTCTGTTCTTTTCTTTCCTTCTTAGCCTTTCTTAGCCTTCCTCTTAGCCTTTCAAGCTTGTGCCCCCACTCTCCCAGCGTTATCTGCCTGCTCAAGTTCCCTTCCCCTCAGCCATGTTGATCTGCTGCCCTCCACCACCCAGGGGTCAGAGCATGTGCGCAGTGGACGGTTGCCATCAAGCTCTGGGCGCCCGCTTTGACCTTCCCTCATTTATTTTACTTTATTAAAATTTATTTATTTATTTTTAAGTTCCAGTTTTATTGAGGTATAATTGACGAATAAAATTTGTGATATTTAAAGTGTACATTGTGTGATCTGATATATATATATATATATAGGTATAATTGACGAATAAAATTTGTGATATTTAAAGTGTACATTGTGTGATCTGATATATATATATATATATATATATATACACACACATTGTGAAAGGACCCCCCCATATGGTTAATTAACACATTCATCACCTCACATGTTTATCTTTTTTTTTTTTGGTGAGAACATTTAAGTTCTATTCTCTTAGCAAATTTCAATTATACAATACAGTGTTATCAACTACAGTCACCATGTTATACATTAGATCCTCAGACTTTAGTCGTCTTATAGCTGCAAGTTTGTATGCTTTTACCAACATCTCCTTATTTCCCCAGCCCCCAGTCCCTGGTGACCACTTTTCCACTCTTTTGTTTCTATGAGTTTGAATTTTGTTTTTTTTAGATTTCACATATAAGTGATACCATGCAGTATTTGTCTTTCTCTGTCTGGCTTATTTCACTTAGCATCAGGCCCTCTAGATCCATCTGTGTTGTCACAAATGGCAGAATGTCACAAATTCCTTCTTTCTCATGGCTGAGTAGTACTCTATTGTATATATATGCACCACATCTTCTTTATCCGTGGACGGACACTTAGGTTGTTTCCATCCCTCATTTATTTTAAAGATTTTATTTATTTTTATTTTTTCCCCCCAAAGCCCCAGCAGATAGTTGTATGTCACAGCTGCACATCCTTCCAGTTGCTGTATGTGGGACTCGGCCCCATGATGGACGGAGAAGTGGTGCCTCGATGCGCACCCGGGATCCGAACCCGGGCCACCAGCATCGCAGCGCGCGCACTTAACCACCAAGCCACAGGGCCGGCCCCATCCCTCATTTATTTTAAAACGTCCAAGACCCTCATGTGAATCTAAATCCACAAACCTCCAGCCTTTTGCTTGAGATCGCCTTTGGCCCTATTTGCCTTTTTGGGGGGCTGACATCTTTTGCCGTAGCCTTCCTCCAGCTCTTGGGGCTGAAGGGGAGAGGCAGCTCTACAGGGGCCTCTGTCTCCCTCCAGCACTTGAGTCTACCTTCTGCCAGGGGCATTGGTGCCCGCATGTCCCTGGGCCCCCTCCTGAGATCAGTGGCAGTGTGTGGCCAGCTTGGCTGCTTCCTGGCCTGTGTCTGGGGAACTTGGGTCCCTAGTGAAATGGCAGGTAGCCTGGGGGAGTGGAAACCCAAGAGTCAGATGGTCCTGGGTTTTTCAGGGTCTAACTCTGGCTGGTCTAACTTCTTGGAGCCTCTTTTTCTTACTGTCTGCTGTTGGGCCATCGTGAGGCTGAATTGAGACTGTGCACATAAAGCATCCAGGCCCGTAGTTGGCCTGCAGCAGATGTTCGTTGTGTCCCTGACAACGTGGGTGGCTGAACGATCCTCCAGGGAAGCTGGTGCTCCTCTGCACGCTGTCCCATCTGATACCTGTGACCCTGTGAGGCAGGCAGTTTCTCCCGGTTTTACTGCCAATGAGAGTTAAGATGAAAGTCAAGGTTGAAGAGGTGAAGCGACCTCCTTGGGGTCAGTACCAATGCCCCTTTGGACTCCCAGCCCAGTGCTCTTCATGGCTCATAATTTAAGAGGAGTCCTGGAGAAAAGGACTTCTATGCTTTAATGAATATTAAATAACTGGATTCTATAGCCAAAGGCTGGCACAAGGAACTCCATTCAAGGAGTGGAAGAGCCATTGACGAGGACAGGAGTCTGCCTGACGCCTGCTCTTGGCGCCCTATGGGGCAGGCAGCCAGGGTGGGCAGTGGCCTCCAGAAACATTGGCTGCCTTAGGGAGGGGACCAGTCAGCGGTCAACAGAGGGACTTCCAGAGGAAGGGCCCTCTCAATGGAAGGCCTGGTGGCCCTTTGGGGAATATTTCCAGGCTCTAGAGCCAGAACCTTTCTGGAATACTTACTGCCTTTTCTTCCAGCCCTTGGGTCCCTCAGTTGGCAGGAGACGTTTCTTATCCAGGAGCGTGTCCGGACCCGGGTGAAGGGAGATTCTTTTCTTTAGCTCTCCTCTTAATATCTCTTAAGCTCATCTGTAACCACAGATGGACAAGCCAGCAGGACTTTGGGGGGGACTCCCGTATAGCATGCCCCCACTTAGGTCAGCCCAGGACTTGAGTTCATGACTGGGGACAGTGCAACCTGGTGTCCTTCCAATTCAGGCCATCTCGAAAAGGGCACGTTGTGGGGAAATGATTAAACAGAACTTTTTATTGATCTGGTTGATTGTCCTTGGTGTCTGGGCTCACTGAGTTTTTCATCTTGGTGATGGTTATAGGGAGGGATACAGGAGCAAGTGCTTAAAGACTTATTTGCTAATGTTCTTTGCCCCACATCCACCCCAATCCATTGACCTGAGCATCTGTCATTCCAAAACATCTCTGTTAATTCTCCCAGTTGATCTGGCCAAGGAGCACTTGGGCACCCTTGGTTCCAGAAACAGAAAGCCCCACAGGCAGGTGACGGTAAGGGTAGGGTGGGGTATTGTAAGGGCACAACCAGCAGACTGCCAGGCTCCTCAGGGTAGGAAGTGAGGCACAGCTAGGACTAAGACTGAGATGTGAAGGGCGTTTCTAGTTCTTTCTGAATGTCTACTTATTGTCCCACTCCTCCCTGCAAACCAGTGTCCTGGGCTTATGGGCAACATCTCAGTTCCACCCTGACTTTGGCTACCCACAGCACTGACTCCCCTCCTACTTCCTGTGACCTTGGAGCTCAGATCCCCACAATGTCTCCTATCCCAACTCCAGATTTCTGGGGAAAGAATCTGATTGGCCCACTTAGTTCAGGAGATCACCCCTGGGTCAAGGAGCTGTGTTGCGGGCTGGTGGAATCACCTGGTGCAGCCATACTCTGGAGCCCATCCTCCTGCAGGAGCTGGAGGGGGGCCACATGCCCTCAGGAAGCGGGGTAAGAGGGGAGGCAGTGCCTGGTTTTTCTGGTCTCTCACCTGTTGACCTTCCCTCTGCTTTGAGGGATCCGTTACTAATCCTTTCCATCTGGAGTGTATCATGGACTTGCATGCAGAGGCCGTTA